ATCATTCCTCGGTTAAGGAGCGGGACTCGTCCCGGGGATATTCCAGGGAAAAACGGGGCAAAGCGGGAATTTTCCGTCCGGCGCGGGGAGCGGACCGGGAGCGTTCTGCTGGCAAACTGGGAGCGGACTGGGATTGGACTGGGCACGGTCTGGTATGGCCCGATGGGGCCAGGGGGGCAGCGTCCCCTTCCCGTGGGTGTCCCAGACGACCCCTCAACCCCCCCCCACCCCCCCCATCCCCTTTCCCTGTTCCCGAGGGAATCACAGCGGGAATGGGGCGAGCAGCGACCCCCGGACCCCCCGGCAGGGACACGGGGACGTCCCCAGTGTCACCCCCTCTCCACCAAAAATCCACCTTCCCGGAGAATCCCGGCCGGCTCCGGCACCGCCTCGGACCTGCCTGCAGGTGCCACTGGCGCGACGTGGGCGCGGGAAAACCGGGATTTGATGGAATGCCTCGGGAAAACAGACTGGGAGTATAATTTTATTTCTAAAACGGAGTGAAACTCGAAGAGAAAAGGAAAACTGTTCCCTTTCCAACTGGAAATTCCAACCAACTGCTCCATCGCGTTCTCTGAGAGTTGCTGCTCTCGAACCCTGCTGAGGGTTCGTTTGGGGCTCCAGGAGCACCCAAAAATCCTGGGAATGCCGGGAAACAGCTCAGTCCCCTGTGCCAGCCCCGGCCCAAGGCCAGAGCCCGGCGGCAAACCTGGCTTTTAATGAGAATTCCTGAAACAGCCTGGAATATCCCCAGTTAGGGAAAACTCCCAAGGCTCAACGTCGCACCAACCCCGTGGGGAGACAGGGATGGAAACCCGGGAAATATCAACGGACCTTTCCCGGATCAGCTGTTTTGGGGGGCGGAAAAATGGGGGAAACCCCCCCCGGACTGGGGGGGCTGGGCCGGGGTCTCCCCGAGCCCCGCCGGCTCCTCCCGATCCCGATCCCGCCGTTCTCCCGGGAATTCCGGCTCCGCTCCTGCCGCGGCCCGGGGCTGTGCCGCGCTGGGGGACGGGGGTCCCGCGGCCCGGGGGGGCCCGGGGGGGTCTGTCCTGCCGCGCTGGGTGACAGAGGGGTCCCGGGGGGCTCCGATCCGATCCCGGCGCCGGGATCACCTGGTGACGGAGGTGTCGGAGTCCACGTGTCCCAGCAGGAAGAGCTCGGGGCGGGCGGCGAAGCCCAGGCGGCCCTGGGGGAAGGGGAAGGCGACAATTAGAGCCGAGGGCAGTTAATGAGCCCGGTTTAATGAAGCCGGAGCCAGGACAGGCTGAGGAAGCCCCAGGTCAGACGGGTTTAAAGAAGCCCAAATCGAGCCCACTGAGTCTGGTTTAACAAAGACCAAGTCGAGACGGGTTTAACAAAGCCTGAATTAAGGCGGGTTTAACAAATTGAGCCCGATTTAATGAGTTTTGCTGCGCAGGGTTAAACGAAGCCGGAGCGGATCTCAGTTCCGCGGAGCCCCAGCTGAGCCCAGTTTAGCAAAGCCCGGGTGGGCACCGAGGTGGCGGTGCCGGTCACGGCTCCAGCGATACCCTCTGCCCCGTTAATTAGTGCTCTGACCCAGCGCCGATGGGACCACTGCTAATTGGGAACGGATCACGGTGTTAATTGAGGGCGGGTCCCGGTGTTAACTGGAAGCGAATCCCGGTGTTAATTGGGACGGGTCCCGGTGTTAATTGGAAGCGAATCCCGGTGTTAATTGGGGCGGGTCCCGGTGTTAACTGGAAGCGAATCCCGGTGTTAATTGGGGCGGGTCCCGGCCCCACCCACAGCTCCGAGTCGATCCCCCCGCCCCGCCCCCACAGCCTCCTCAATTAACTGCTGCTCCAGCTCAATTCAACTGGAGCCTTAATTAGCACCGACAGCACAGGCGGGTTAATCACAGGAGGACGCTCCGAATCCTCGGGATGAGCCCGGATGATCCCGGTGTTAAACGGGAGGGGGGGAGGAAAGCAGGGAAAAAAATTGGGGGTTGGGTTTCCCGGCGCAGGGAGGGGTCGGGCCGAGCAGGGCGGGATGAACGTGCCGTGTCCTGGATCCACTGAAGGAATTCCAGCGGGAAGGCCGGACCCTCCCCTCTCCCGGGGATGCCACGGTCACGGCGTGACCCCGGGAGTGAATCCCGCGGGACGGGGACGGGACGAGTCCCCCCCTTCCCCCCGGGAGCTCGTCCTGCTGACACAGCTCGGGGGGCTCCACCACGGCCAGGAACGGCCGGCGCTCGGAGCACACCCCAAAAAACGACCCAGGAAGCCGAGTTGGAAAAGTCTGCAGTGTTTTAATGGCGAGGGGGGTTCACACAACCGGGGACAGTCCCCAAATCAGCGCAGCGAGGAGCGGAGCCCACGGACAGGGGCCCGATCCAGAGGCTCTGCCACGCAGTCAGTGCTTCAGCCCCGAGAGCTGAGCCCTCCCAAACCAACATTCCCGATCCACGAACGCCAGGGGGTGGGTACAGCAGGATTCTGGAGCCCGGATTCCCTCCCACCCCTGAATTCCCTGGGATCGTGGCTGTTGGGTTGTGGGAATAGGTGTCAAACACTACAGTGTTACGCTACAGGGTTAAATCCCGCTGGAATTCTGGGATAATGACCTGAAAACTGGGAACCCATCATGTCCTAATCCTTGCTCAGGTCAAGGGGAGCCACAAGGCTCAGCTGGTTTGAGAAGGGGTGGGAAAAGCAGACACAATCCTGTCCCTCATTAAAGTGTTTTCCTGCTGGGCTCTGGGCGTTGTCACCCGTGTCCCTGGAGCGTGTCCTGGGCCCCAGGGAATAACCCCAGACCTTGGGCAGTGATGGATAAAACCCTCGGGAAGCTCCAAGCAGGAAGGGGCTGCCCCGATCCTGGGAGCCAGCCAGGTTTGCTCATGGGAGAGAAGAAATCCCTGGATCCCAAAATGGCATCAGGGCAGAATTCCCGAGGGTTGGGAACTTTATTTCAGAGAGAATTCCCTGCCTGGGACAGGGGGCACAGGGAAAGGCCGATGGAATTACAAGGAAGCCTCATTAGAGCGAGGGATGGAGCCCCTGGCACTGCCCAGCCCTGATCCAAGGATCCCAAATAATCCAGGGCCAGGCTGGGGGGGGGGGAGCTGTGACACCCACTTGGGAGGCGAGCCCCTCATCCCCACCCCTTCTCCATCCTGCAGATCCATAAAGCATTTTGGGATCTAAATCCATGGAGCTGTGCTTCTGCCGTGCCTCCAGGAGCACAGAGAAGGGAGTTCCCCTAATTAACCCCAATTTCCATGATCCACAGATCCAAAGCCACGCCCTCAGGCAGGATGAGACTCCAACCTCTCCCGTAGAGCTGGAGGTCTGAGAGGTTCCCCCTTCCCTCCATCCCAATCTGTTCTGGTGCCCTTGGGTCGCATTCCCAGCAAAGCTCCTCCCAAAAACCCCAAAACTCATTAAACACCAGCAGAAAGTGAGATGGGGGAATTTAAATCCGGGGAAAAAAAGCGGGAGCAGCAAGGAAACCCCTGGAAAAGGCTCCTGGAGCTGATTTTGAGCCGTAATCCAGGGATTTTTGAGAACTCCAGGAGTGTTTCCACGGGTAATAAAGTCATAAAAACATAAATAACCACGAACTCGTTTCCTTTGCTGACCCCAAAATCCCACGTAGGGCCAGTAAGAACCAGTAGTGACGATACCAATGCTGAGGTTTCCCGTCCTCGGGGGGGGGTCCCCACCGGGAACGGGAAGCGTTTCCCAGTGAAAAAGGACCAAATTCGGTCAGGCCAGGGTGGCAGAGGTAGATCTGGCTGTAGTGTCACCCCGGTCCCCAAATGCCACCCGAGAGGGGGGATTTGGGGGTTTTTCTGTAGCTTATCTGTCTGGATTATCCCGGAGCGGCGCTCCCGGGTGTCAGTGTTGGTGCTCCAGGGGCTCCAACGCCCCAGGATGAGGAATTTGGGGAGGGGGGATTTAAAGGACAGTGAGGACAGGAGGGCTCAGGCTGCTCTCCACGTGCCCCCCCCACACACACACAACCCCGGGGGGATTTGGGGGCTCAGCAAAGGAACAGCAGCAGGATCCGGCTCCTCCCGCGTGTCCTCCCCGGCTCCGGCGGCTCCGGTGGGGTCCGGGACCCCCATCCCGTTATTTGGGGGTCTGGGGGGGCGGCGGCTCCAGGTGCAGGGTCCGGGTGACGCTTACCGTGTTCCCGCAGGCCAGGAAGGAGGCGCCCAGGGCGATGAGGCACAGCCAGGTCTGTGGGGACACGAGGGGACACTCAGGGAGGGCACAGAGGAGGGGACAGGGGCAGTGACATGGCAATGAGGGAGGGGTTGGGGTCAGGCACAGCCAGGTCTGCAGGGACACGAGGGGACACTCAGGGAGGGCACAGGGTGGGACAGGGGCAGTGACATGGGAATGAGGGAGGGGTTGGGGTCAGGCACAGCCAGGTTTGGGGGGACACGAGGGGACACTCAGGGAGGGCACAGGGTGTCAGGGAATTGTGGAATCAAGGCATGGGATGGTGGAAAAGCCTCTGGCACCGTTGGGTCCAGCACTGCCAAGGCCACCACTGACCGTGTCCCCCCAGTGCCACATCCACACAGCTGTTAAATCCCCCCAGGGACGGGGACCTCTCCTGCCCTGGGCAGCTGTGCCAGGGCTGGACAGCCCTTTCCAGAAGGGATTTCCCCCAAAATCCAGCCTAACCCTGCCCTTGGGGCCGTTTCCTGGGGGCAGAGCCCGACCCTCCTGTCAGGGGGTGTTGGGCAGTGAGAAGGTCCCCCCTGAGCCTCCTCCTGTCCAGGCTGAGCCCCCCCAGCTCCCTCAGCTCTCCAGCCCCTTCCCAGCTCCGTTCCCAGCCCTGGACACGCTCCAGCCCCTCAGTGTTCTGCACTGGAGACCCCAAAGCTCAGCTGGGGTGGGGGAGAAGCTCCACCAGCGACCCCACAGAGGGATCCACTGGGGGATCCTTCCCTGGATCAGAAATCCAGGGGGTGAGTGGGGTCCCTCAGGGTCTAAACTGGGACCAGTATCCGGGAACAGCCTCCCTGGGGACAGACAGGGGGTCACACGCAGGTGACACGGAGCTGAGGGGACAGGTGACAGCCCAGAGGGGGGACCCACAGCCTGTGGAAACACGGGGGGGGGGTGTCCTGCCCCTCTGCCCCCTCAGGTGAGACCCCACCTGCAGAGCTGCCTCCAGCTCTGGGGCACCAACACGGGGGGGGACGTGGAGCTGCTGGAGCAAGTCCAGAGGAGGATTTGGGGATGGAATTCCCCCCCCCCCTGCGAGGGTGGGGGAGGCATTGGCACCCATTTCCCAGAGGATCTCCTATCCCTGGCAGTGCTCTGGGCCAGGCTGGGCTGGGGCAGGGAATTGTCCCCACGCACAGCAGGGGGTGGGATGAGATAACCCTTGAGGTCCCTCCCGGCCCAACCCACCCCACGGTCACTCCACGCTTTCCCCTCTCCCTGACACACGAGGCAGGGACAGAAGGGCCGTGTGAGATCCCAAAAGGCCTCTCCCAGCTGGGAGGGGGCCCAAGGGGGAGCCCAACTCACCAGGTAGGCCACGAAGGACAGGTAGACCACGCTGAGCACGGCGGCCCCCACGTACAGCCCCAGGTTGTGCAGGTCCTTCACGTAGGCCACCACGAAGTACATGTTGATGCAGCAGATGAGCAGGATCAGGAGGCCCCCGGCCACCTTCCAGAACCTGGGGGTGAGGAGAGACACAGCGGGGTGAGCACAGTGGGGGGATAACCCAGGTGAGGAGGTGCTCCAGGTGAGGAGATGCCCCAGGCCAGGAGATGCCCCAGGCGAGGAGATGCCCCAGGCCAGGAGGTGCCCCAGGTGAGAAGATACCCCAGGTGAGGAGGTACCCCAGGTGAGGAGGTACCCCAGGTGAGGAGGTGTCCCAGGTGAGGAGGCGCCCCAGTCCAGGAGGTGCCCCAGGTGAGGAGATACCCCAGGTGAGGGTTGGGCCTGAGCAGATGCCCCAGGCCAGGAGATGCCCCAGGCCAGGAGATGCCCCAGGTGAGGAGATGCCCCAGGTGAGGAGATACCCCAGGTGAGGAGGTGTCCCAGGCCAGGAGATGCCCCAGTCCAGGAGGTGTCCCAGGCCAGGAGATGCCCCAGGCCAGGAGGTGTCCCAGTCCAGGAGGTGCCCCAGCCCAGGGCCAGGTGTGACCAGGGGGCTCCCGTGGTACTCACAGGCCGTTGGCAAAGTCGTGCATCACGCTGGGCAGGCTGGTGAAGGTGAGCACCGGGATCAGTGCAAAGGGCAGCTGGAACAGGCAGGAGAACAGGGAAGAGTGAAGGGTGGGAATTGCCCTGATTATCCTGGAGCCCCGGAACGGTTTGGGTGCTCATCCCCCACCCCTGAGCCCCATCCAAGCTGGCCTGGAGCCCCCGGGGGCTGCTGGGCTGGCCCTGCTCACCTGCAGGCTCATGAGCACGTTGAGGAAGTCGTTCATGCCCGTCAGGTGCTCCACGTCCTGGAAGATGGCCACGAAGAGCGTGGGGGTGATGGCGATGGAGCGCGTGAGCAGCACCCGAGCAAAGCGGGACCAGCGGAGGTTCAGGAACCCCTGGGGGGGCACAGAGAGGGTGAGGAGGGGCTGAGCAGTGA